ATAATAATAATAATAATAATAATAATAATAATAATAATAATAATAATAATAATAATAATAATAATAATAACAACAACAACAACAACAACAACTACAAAGTTTCCTCTCTGTTAACTTAATCAGCCGGTTCTCCTATTCCTTTAAGGTTCAAAGAAAAGGTGGTGTTTGGTGTTTTTTTCCCCCCCTTCCTGGGTCTCTGGCTTCTCTGCTTGGCAAACGGCACATTTCGTGGAAACCGATGGAAAATGAGCCCAATCCACGCGTGTCCCCTTTTTTTTCTCTGGGCTGCTCTTGCATCACAAACCTCGCCTCCGTCCTTTGCAATTATTACCAGGCTTGCACGTGACTCTTCCCCGGGAGAGCCCTTGACTCAGCGTTTTCTTTCAAGCGCCGTCGGGTTTAATTGTTTGGTTAACTGCGCCGCCGCCGCCAATCCTTTGCCTTCCAAAAATTAAGGGCTTTTCACATTCAAAGCACCGCGTCCCCGCACTGACACGGGAGTAAACCCGCTAGAAACCAATGGGGCTTTACTGTCACGACAGCTTGCAGGGATGCAGGCCTGGCAGACGGCGTCGGTTTGGCCCTCCACTAGGAAAAGTGGGTGTGGTGTGTTTTTGGGGGGGGGGATTACAACTTCCAGCATCCCCCAGAGAAAGGGATCGGGGATTCTGGGAGTTGTTGTGGGTGGGGCATTTTGAGCTATTTCAGGAGCGGCTTATCCTTGCGCCATCTGGAACTCGAACCCGGGTCCCTTCCGAGCCTTGGACTACAAAGCCCATTTTCAAAAGGCCCGACATTCAGAGGATCAAAAGAAGGACGTACTTGGCGGGACCTTCTGCCAGATCAGGAGGGCCACTTAAAAAAAAAAACCCAAAGCCAAGTCCCTTTAACGTCCTATTAAAATAAATAAATAAACCACGTGCGCAGGAATAGGGAGGGATGTTCGGAGCGCTCCATTTCCCGCCCTCCCTCGCCGGTGGCGGGGAGTCCAAGAGCGCCCGTGAACCGCAAAGACGACGGCCGGCCCTCGCCGGCGCTCCCATTGGCTGGCGAGAAATAGGCCCCGCCTTTCCGGCCCCTCCTCCTCCTCCTCCCTGCTCCTCATATGACTCCTCTCTCTCTCTCTCACCGCCTGCCCGCCCGTCTTGGTCCCG